ACACACACACACACACACACACACACACACACACACACACACACAGAAGCTTAGTTCCTGTTACTCGGCAAACGGGAGCGTTGACTGTTCTCTGTAACCCATAATGTCACTTCAAAATGGAGGATAAGAGAAGAGTACAGTCAAAGACGAGCGAAAAGGGCAAAGACAATAAAGTAAGGAAGTTGATGACCCAACGAGCCAAAGATGAACAAGAACATGCACCAAAGAGGGCCAGACTCCTCTTTGTTCGAAGTTGAAAATGTTTATGAACGGGGGCTTGCATAGGTAGTAACTCTGCTCTGAATTGTGGTCTCTGCAGCACGGACAAACATGCGAAGGGGGCAGAAGAAGGTGCAAGAACCCCATTCTATCACCCCTACCTCTGAGCTTTTTTTTGCCAAGGCAGATTCAGTCTGCACGCCAAGCTTTGCCGAAGTGCCACGGCGGTGTTTTTTTTTGTTTTTTTTTTGTTTTTTTTTTTGCTTTTGGCTCGCACCACCAGCCGTTTTGGTCCGGTAGCACTGTTCATCTCAAGTCTTCAGAGTGTTACATTTTTGGATTCTCGATGTTGCCTGGGAAAGGTAGTGGTGGTTCGAGGCACTTGATCTTCCGAAAACCCCTGTAGTAAGCAGCAGCACTGCTACCTCCTTCCAACACGTGCAAACATGCAATACCAAGCTGTGCAGCTTTTAACATCATCACCCCACGTTGCACACGGATTACTCTGTGATTACCAATCATGACCAAAATGGGTTCACCGATATAAATCTCAGAAAAGAAACACACACACACACACACATGCAGAGCAGTCGTGCCATTGGGTATCCATGGCAGAGTGGGTGTGTAGAGTGAATTTTATGGCTCTGACAGGATTGTTTCTCAGACTTACTGCCATTCTTGTCAGGGGTTTGAACCCCCGACACGTCTGCTAGGATTGCAGGGTTGGTGTGAGTGAAGTCAACCACTTCTCTCAGGGGTATCGCGAACTCTGGGCAACATGGTGGTGAGTCCTTATCCATCAGTCAAATGCATCCTGGGCAGACTGTCGGGGTTCAACCTCCTGTGAGTCGGTGAAAGTCCGATGAAACAGTCTGGCACAGTCATGCTTTTTTGTGGAGTTGAGTATAGCAAACTGACAACACACACACACACACACACACACACACACACACACACACAC